CGGCAGTCCATTGGTAGTGGCTGCCTGGAGCACTGTATGGGGAGAGATTGCAAAGCATCCTGAGTTTAGCATGAATGAATGTGGGGATGAATTAGTAATGTCTGACATGGGTGTGCTTTGGTGTGTTTCTTAGCTATGCAGCATAAGAAATAACCCCCAAAACTCTATGACTTAAAAAACAGACAAACAAACATTTATCTTACAGTTTCTGAGACTCAGGAATTTGGGAGTGACTTACTAGATGGTTCTGGATCAGTGTTTTTGGGTTCTCCAGAGAGATAAGACCAGGTACAGATAAAGATACACGACAGAGGATTTATTAAGAAAATTGGCTTATGTGATCATGGAGGCTGAGACCTTCCAGGACAGGGCATTTATAGGATGAACACCTTGGGATTCTGGTAGTGACTCTTCAGGGAAGGCAATGGTGGAATTTTCCATCTATGGCTGAAGTCCTGAGATCCCTGGGCCATCTGGGGTAAACCCTGGAGTCCCAGGGCTGGAAAGCCTGGAGTTCTGATGTCCAGAGCAGATAGAGGAGAGTTTCCTGCTCTAGGAGGAAGAGAGGACAATTCTTTTCTGATCAGTCCCCCTTTGCCAAATGAATGGTGCCTGCCTACATTAAGGGTGAATCTTCCTCACTCACTTAGTTAATTCTCAGGCCAATGTCCTCTGGAAAGACCCTCACAGATACCCAGATGTCTTGCTCTACCAGTTCCCTAGATATTCCTTAATCCAGTCAAAGTGGCAGCCAACACTGTCCATCACACCCAGAGTGTCTAGTGAGGCCTCAGTCACCTGAGGGCCCATCTGGAGCTGGGGGGTTCTGCTGTCTCCAAGGGGCTTTCTGTGGGCTTAAAGCCTGTCTCCTTACCATCCATGCTGTAGGCTGCTTGTCCTCCTGAATGGCAGCTTGTTTCTGAAAGAGGACAGAGAGAGAAGAGAGAGAGAGAGAGAGAGAGAGAGAGAGAGAAGAGAGAGAGAGAGAGAGAGAGAAGAGAGAGAGAGATGCAATGCCTTTTAGTACTTCATTACTTCCTCCCTCCATATGCTACCTATTAGGGGTAGGTCATTAATTCCAGTACATACTCAAAGGGAGGTGAATGGACTTCTCAAAGGGAGGCGTATTTAAAAATTTGTGAGCATATTTTAAAACTACCAAATGGAGAATGAGAGTGCATGTACCACCTATTTGCCATCGTTGCCATATGTTACCTTAGAAGGCCCAGGAATGACTCTGAGGAGGTGGGTTACAAACCAGCAGTGGTTAGTGAGAGAGAGGCAGGAATCACAGCAAATGGCATCAGCTGGTAGGGCTACTGTAAGATGCAGGGTGCACAGGGCGGATGCCTGGGAAATGGTGCCTAGCAGAGAGGAGGAGGTGACAGTGGGTTTTTTGCCCATGGCAGACACAGGAGTTTTGCTGTCCTTGCTGGCTGGAGCTCTGCTGATTGCCTTAAGAGGGAGTGAGGAGGGGTGGTAAGGTTCACTCCAGCCACTCCATTAGCGCAAACAGAGACTTTCTCTGCCCATCGGGCTCCAGTGGATTGCAGCTGGCGCCCAGCCAGGCGTGGGGTAGGCCAGCTTCAGACGCAAGACCCAGATGTTGTTTGCTGCTGGTGCTGTGGTAACTAGTTGGTAACTGGAGTCTCCCCAGCTCCTAAGTGGCCTTGGTATCTAGGCCTGCATTTGTTTACTCTGAGCCAGGCAGTTCTGGGTTTGTAAGATGCATTATCCACATGATGACGAAGTTTCTGAAGTCAAAATCAATCTGATGTGAAAAAGTATGGGTACAACAGGATGGAATACTTGATATTAGGCCTTGTTGGCAAGTCCAGGTTACTGCTCCCTCCCCCACCCCATGACTATGAGCCAGTGGTCAGTGAGGGGCCCCTGGTTGGCCAGGCTGCAGACTGTGGTGGGGCTGGCTAAGACACTCCCCAGGGGTCATACTATGTCTTCTTCAGGAGAGCCTGACCGTCTCTCACCTGATGCCGGGCTGAATAAGGACCTTGGCCAGTGCTTAGCTGCTCAGTGTGGCATTTTGGAAACTTTGCCCAGTAACCTGGCTTTGTGGAAGTCTGCATGGCTGATTTACTGGAGAATATCTGCCCTGTGACTCAGGTGTAATATCACATGGCCTCCGGCTCCCAGGACCCCAGCTGAAACCAGACTGCTGAAGACTTAACGGTTCCTGGGCTGCTAGGACCTAGGGTAGGACACATTTCTTCTTGCCTCCCTGATGTTTTTCTGCTTATAAAAAGATTACCCCCCCTTTACACACACACACATGCACACGCACACATACACACACACATACATGCACACACACGTACATACACACGCACACACAAACACACGCACATACACATACACACATAGACACACACACACACCATAACAGAGCTAGAAAACCTTTTTTTCCTGATTTTTTTTTTTTTTCTTTTCTGTGCAGCGACATCAATATATTTGAATCCTGGGCTGACAGTAATTAAAAAGCACATAACTAGTCATTTTAAAATGCAGTTGTTTTACTTAATTGATTTTGCCGCCAGACCCAGAGAGAGAAAAAGGAATGGGGAAGCAAGCCTTAGAAAGGGAGACAAGTTTCTGCAAGTGACTGGAGGCAGCTGAGGCCCCTGCTTGAATCTAATTGCTGCAAATGCTGCAGTTTGTTTCTGTTAATGGTTTTCTGCTGAAAGGGCTGGGGGATGAGGCAAGTCCTTGCTGATTGGAGGGGGTGGTATTTGTTTCAGCTGCATGGGGGGGTAATTCTGCTTTGGGGACAGGTTCTATTTTTCCTTACTATCTATCAGCATAAAGTACTTCCACTGAACACTTTGAATCAAGGTTCCATTTAGAGATACTTTATTCATATTTAATTATAGGCTGCGGCACCAATCTTTAATTACCTTTTTTTATAAGCCAGCTAGGAACATCCACTAGCAATCAATTAATGTGTGTGTGTATGTATGTGTATGTATGTGTGTGTGTGCTTCCATAAGCATGGGAGGGTGTGAGGATGGGACTTGCCTCTAGCTAGAGAGGGAAAGGATGGCTGCAGGGATGTGGGATACTCTGAGAGTGAGGGGTTGAGTGAGGGGTTCATCCTTATTTCCCCTGCCTTTCTTGCTTCCACTGGGTAAAATGGGGAATGTGGGCAAACCTTCCCATCTGGGCCTGGTGTTGGGTGCTGAGTTGGCAGCTGGGCTTGGATTGTATCTTGGAGGCCTCCTCAATCCTCTGGTAGGGGCAGAAAATTGTGGGAGTTCCCTTTCTGTCCCCAGGATACATGGCAGACCAGGCTTCTTCTCATCTTGGAGATTAGGATCTGCTTGCCTTGGCCTTTTCCTTTTCCACTTCCCTGTAGGGTGCTCTTGGCAGCTGTTCTTGTCACACAGCTCTGGTGATGCCATGTCACTCTTTGGGTGCAATGACTCTGCAATGTCCCTGCAGTGACACAAGTTTGAAGACTGGTTGTCCTTCTCATATGGCAAGCTGATATTCCCAGGGCCAGGCAGAGGCTGGGGTGGAGAGAGAGGTAAGAGAACCCCCCATATCCTTTTGCTGCATGAAGATTTGGTCAATCCTCATGGCTGGGGAGTGAGGGTCACATTCACAACTCTGCTCCAGAAATGCTCTTTGGTGTTCCTCCAGGAGCTACCCAGTTTCCATGGGGACTGGTGTGGATCTCATTGTGTAATAGCTGGGAACATTCTGAAGCTCTGCTTTCCTTCTGTACCTAGGTCCCAGTCCTAGGAAGGGCTGAGGAAGAGATAGAACTCATGCTTTCCTTCTGTCCCTAGGACCATGTCTCTTTCACTCATCTGACACTACAGTCAGTTGTGTGTGATACAAAACTTAAACTGACTTAAGCAAACAAACAAAAAAGGAATTATAGGGTAATTACCCAGGTGTGAATAGATCAAGGGCTTGAAGCATTGTAAACAAGATTGATTCCCTGTTTCTTGGCTCTGCTTTCTTCCTTATTGCCACTATGTGACCCTTGCAATACTCAGGCTTATATTTCTTTCTGTTTAAATTCAATAGAAAGAAGTTCTTCTCCTACAGTTCAAACAATGGCACAAAAATTGAGTCTGATTGGATCAGTTGGGTCACATGTCTACCTGTGAACCAATCGTGGTGGCCAGCAGTGCTTAGGATTCTGATTGACTAGGCTGAGGTCTCACTCCTGCCTGAAGTAACAAAGTCTGCCTAGATAAATGTCACACATGATGTGTCCTTCCACTATTTTGGACAATTACCCATTTGAAGTGTTTGGATCAGTAGGAGTGGGAAGGTCTAACTGTTTCAAAGGGAAGAAAAAGTTGATCTGATTCTCCAATGGAGACAATGGTGGATTTAGTCATTCAAATATCTACTTGACTCTGACCAGTCAGCCTTGTTCAAGGCTCAGGGAATTCAGCAGTGAACAGAGCAGACAAAAACTCCAGCTTACTTGGTGATAGTGTTCTCATGGGTTTATGGGGAAGAAAGTGCTGCTGTTCTTCCATCCCATGCCCAAGTCCAGGATGAGGGTTCTTCTTGAACTGAGAGACCTAGAGTGATTAGGTGATTGGTGGAAGTAGAGCGTCTGCCATCTGATTCTATGATGGGCTGCTGTAGGCCCCATTTCTGTTGACTTTTAATGTGTATATGTGAGGGCCAGGAGGCTGGTTGTTGGATAATTAAATGGGCATATGATGTACAGTTCTGAATATTCTGGATAGCACTGCTTCAGGCTTTGATGGAGTTGCCAGGGACCTTGTGCACATGTGTGTAGATACCTTCCATGTATGTCCTCTGTCTTCCTCCATGTGCTTGGTATGAATATCTATCATAGCAGAGAGGCCAGCCAAGTTCTGAGGTGGCCATATAACTGATAAGGCAGAAAATCTGTTGTAGGGCATGAGGCATCTCTGTCCTGTCTTCCTGGCCACTCCCCTCACTGAATTGGGTCATTGTCTTCTCACTTATTTGTCCTCTCTCCACCCTGACAGATCCACGACTTGTTCTTGAGCTTTGATGACACCCCTCTGGGAGCAGCCTCCCTGGCCCAGGTCCACAAGGCTGTGCTGCATGATGGACAGACGGTGGCCGTGAAGATCCAGCACCCAAAGGTTCAGGCTCAGAGCTCCAAGGATATTCTCCTGATGGAGGTGGGCATTCCCCCTTTCTCCTTCCTTTTCTCGGTCTGTATTTCCCTGGGATCCAGATGGCCTCAGTGACACTGGCTCAGGCTGGCAGGAAGAATGTGACCCTTTGAACAGCAGAGTAGAAGAGGACAGAGATGAAACCACAACCAACACAGTGTCATGAGCACTTTGATCACACCCTTGTGGCAGGGTTGCTCAGTTCTTGATTTGTCCATGGGACCCTTTGGAATGGTCTCAGAACACAGAGCTACTTCTGGGACCAGGGGACCTCAGGGATGGATACAGTAGAAATGAGATGAACAAAGGTGATTTCTTTTGGGGGTAGAAAAAGTTCCATCATAATTTGTTAAGTTATAACAAAAGGGAGCATGTAGTCAGCTAAGGAATAGAAAGTTATACATCACATGGAAATATTTATGCAGATTGTGTTTGTTTTGAATGAACAAACTTACCTGCTTGAAAATGGCCCTGTGAAAAGCCCTAGAGGCCTCAGGGTGCCTCTGGAATTTTCTAGCTCCATGTCCAGATCAAGGGAGCAGGAGGGTGAGCCAACACTGTTGGGGCAGTAGCCTGTACCTGCACAGGAAGGTCAGCAATCAATCTATTTAAACTGCCAGTGTGTCTCTCCTTTCTTTCTTCTCTCCCTGTCCTTTGTTCCATATCCTTACTCAGGACTCCTGGCTTATTCTTCCCATTGAGTTAAGAGATGGGTATGTAAACAAACAACCACAGAGTAAGAGTGGGGATATGAGCTCTGACAAAGGGCCCTGGAGCACTGTGCCCCGATGCAGGAGACTTCACTGGGGAAGAGATGTTTGAATTGATTCCTGGGGAGCCCAGGAGACACTGGGCAGGGAAAGAATAGCCCATGAAAGATAGGCAGGATGTCTGAGGGCCCACATTCTAGGCTAAGGCTTAGAACAGTATCCATAGTCAGCACTCATGCCTTTGTGGGACTGAGCAGATCTGATTTGCTCCTGTAGTCATTGGGGAACCATTTAAGAATTTTAATCAGGGGACTGTCATCAGATGTGCATTAGAAATAAAAATCTGTTGGCAGTATGGAGAATGTATTGGAAGGCAGAAAGCCTGTAGCCAGGAGACTAATTGAGGGGTTGCTGCATGGGTCTGAGAGACATAATGATGTGAAGCAAGGCAGTGTAATGGGGTGGAGGAGAAGGATGGTCTCAAGGGATGAAATTACCAGACTTCATGACCAGCTTTACATGGGGAGTGGGCAAGTACTGGTATGAATGAGGTGGAAGAGACTGAAGTAATAGGTTTCTGACTTCAGTGATGAAGTTTAAATGCCTTTAGTCCTATGTATCAGCCAGGGACAGGAAAAAGAAATTGCTCTAGGTATTTAGAACAGAAGGGTTGACAAGGAATGATATTACCGAAACCCCAAATGGCATGGCATGGTGGACGACCAACAGCAGGAAGTCATTGCTGCCCTCATGGTGGAGGAACAGAGAGAGGTGGTGCTTTTCAGGATCCTAGGAGTTGGAAGCCTTTGGTGGGAGCTTGGTTGTGGTGGGCCCACCTAGTTAGTGGAGCTGCAGAACAGATAAAAGGTCCACAAGTTGGAGCCACAGCTGTGTTATTTGAGGCAAGGCCTTTTTTTTTCTTTTCTGCTTTAGGTCCTCTGTGTTTTACCAGAGTTGCTCATTGGTCAAACTTAGCTAGAAAAAGTTGGCAGGGGATCCTGGGAAATGTAAAATAATAATTAAGGGGTTAGATGGATCTCAGAGCAAAAAGAAATGAGTGATGGGGCATCTGTGGGCCGGGGTCGGAGGGGGGGCAGGGGAAGATATTGCTGTGGGTAGCTTTGGATAGGGACATCCCTGTCAGTCTGAAGTTCAGGATGGAATACAGATTTAGGAGTTATGAGCAAGGATACTCATGTGTCTGAATCTGAGGGAGTGTTGAGGTCACTTACAGAAGGTGTGCATAGTTAAAAAAAAAAAAAGGAGCAAGATTGGGGGAGGCAAGGAAAGAGCTTTGAGGAGCATCATCATTTGGGGAGTGGGACCAGAGGATAAGTTCTTGAAGGCATTGTCAGGGAGATTGGAGGACCAGGATTGAGCAAAGCAGCTACCGCTAATGAATGTGTATCATTTATCTAATTAATAATGCTGCATAATGAACTGCCTTGAAATTCAGTGCTTGAAATAATAGTCATGAGTTTTGCAGGTGAGTCTGCACTTTGGCCAGGATTTGGTAGAGAGAATCATCTGTTTTATGTAGTCCACCTGGGGTGGTTTCATGGGACTGAAGAATCTACTTCCAAGGTGGTTTACTCATATGACTGGCACATTGGGGCTGGCCTGTGATCTGGGAGCTCAGTTGGGGCTATGGGCTGGGGCCTTAGTTCCTTTCCATGTGGGCCTCTATGTGACTATTTGGGCTTCCTCACAGCATAGTGGCTGGGTTCTAAGAGCAAGTGTCCCCAGAGAACAAGGCTGAAAGTACGTTATAGTTTTATAACTTGTCCCTGGAAATCATATGGCATTATTTCTCTTTCACTCCATTGGCTGAAGCAGTCACAAAGGCCCGTGAGTTTAGGAGTTGGGAAGTAGATTACCTTTCAATGGAAGAGTGGCAAGGTATTTATGGTTTGAATATGAAATGTCTCCCACAGGCTCATGGGTTGAATCCTTGGTTCCTAACTCGTGGAGTTATTTTGGGAGGTGATAGAAACATTAGGAGATGAGGCCAGTTAGAGGAAGTAGGCCACTTGAGATGTGCCTTTGAAGGCACTGGCCCCCCGTTCCTTCTCTGCTCTTTGTTTCTGGTCTGCCATGAGGTGAACAGCCTCCTCTTCCACATGTTCCTGCTGCCATGATGTTCTCCCTCACCATGGGGCCAGAGTCGACGGAGCCAATGACTATGGACTGAAATCTCTGAAACCATAAGCCAAAATAAATCCTTCTTCCTTTAATAATCTCCTGTATGTCAGATATTTTGTCATAGCAGTGGGAATACTAATAAAGTTTTAGAAGCATATTAGAATGAGGGTATTTTTGCAGCCATTTTAGAAAATAGAGTTTGCCATAATTACTCAATGTTGTCAAGTAGAAGATCAAACCAGTAAGGTACTGAAAAGGATATTTTTGGGTTTGGCAATTTAGAGTTGTTAGGAAAAGCAACTACAGATGCATGAGTTGGGTGGGGGGAAAGGAGAATTGAGACCTGAGGAGGTATTGTACTGTTGTCCAATTCATAGCCATGCAAGGTTGGGGAGATAGAGCAGAGCATTGGCTCAGGTGCTGGGGAGATGTGAGCAGGCTTAGCAGATGGGGAGGGCACTGGAGACTCAGCAGAGAAAAGTAAGTGCTAGATCAAGTTCAGGAGGAGATTTGTGAGATTGGACACCAAGAACCAAGTGGCCTTCAATGGGCCTTTGTTTTGAGACCGGAGAAAGGCGGTAAGGCTGGGCACAGACAAATGTTGGGGGCAGAGGAGAGGTGGAGGGAAAGTGGGTAGCAGGTGTGTACCAGCCTGATAGTCTCTATTTTTTTCCCTGAAGTAGGAGGCAAGACCATCTGCTGAGAATGAGAGGGTAGGAGGTGGCATTGGAGGCTTGAGGGGGTGAAGGTTTGGAATAGCTGCTCTGCATGTTGCAGAGGGAGCTGACGGGACTAGGGATGGATGAGGGCTGCTGAGTGGCACTGGGCATACATCTGGAAACTCGAGTTTTTAGAGAACCTTTTGGTAGCCATGGAATGGCTGTAGCTGAGAATAAACAGGGAGTCAGGGAGGATCCCTGGGTTTCCTGATTGCTCTTGAGCCAGCGAGGAACTACCTCTGCCCAGCAATGCAGCAGGGCCCCCTTGGGCTGGGAGAACAGCTGTCACTTTTCTCTGTGCAGAGTGTTGCTGGCTCCCTGAGTAATGGTGGTCGTAAGGTCAATAGCAATAACAGCAGTAATAAAGATTTGGCGTCTTTCTCCCTGAGATAAGCATCAGTCGCTTTCCTTGGGAGCACGCGTAGCGGGCCGTGTGCAGAGCATAGAGTGGCTCCTTGGCAGTGGCTGAGGTGCATCAGAGGACAGAGTGGAGATCAGGCCTCACGGCTTGCCGGAGAGCAGCTGGGAAAGAGGCCTGAGGCCACCATCATCTTTACAGGCCATACTGCCTTCTTACATGGCTTGGTCTCTGGTGAGAAAAGTCCTACCTGGGTCACCATGCTCTGCCGTAAATAAAAAAAGAGCCCAACTGGAAAGCTTGCTTTGTTTGACATTTGAAATGAGTATTATTATTATTATTATTATTATTATTATTATTATTATTTTGAGTCCAGATCTAAATGGTTTCTTGGTTTTGGTAATGTCAACCCCAGGAAGGAGCTCAGGAATGCTTAGAATGATTTCTGGGGGACTTTAGGGCTGCCTTAGCCACCAGGAGCTTGGAGATGGGGGAGGCAAGGCTACTTTCCTGCACAGCCTTCTGTGCTTCCTTTTATGCCAGCTCCAGGAATCAAAACCTCATGCCTCTTTCTCACTGTGGTCCCTCTCCTAACCCTGTGATAATCACTGCTTGGTCCTGAGAGGGAGGCAATCTGATTAAAGCAATTCACACTAAAGAGAGAGTGACTGATAGTAAACTCTGAATATTCGCTTTGTGTAAATCCAAACACAAACACATATTCCCTGTAAGGACAGAGGGGATGAGGTCTTCAGGAGTGAGACTTTTGAGAGTTAGGAACGCTGATTGTATAGGTTAGGATGATTGTGGGCCCAAGAATCAGAAAGTCTAACTAAAAGTGGTATAGGTAGTTATACCGCACGTTATGTTACATGTGAAGACACTTGGAAGTTGGGTGGGCTGTTCCCAGCTTGACTGATCTAGTGCCTCGTTATGATTTGTAAAGTCCCAAGTTCTTCCCATCTTTCACTCTCCATCTCATCTTCCTGGCTTGTCCTCCTAAGTGAGTGTCCCTCATAGGCCCAAAACAGCTGCATGGCTCCTAGTGACCTCCTGGTGCCAAAGAAAGTCTGTTTT